AAAGAATCTTCACCATTTTTCCACTTTTTTCTTGCTGTCCTTTCTGTACACGGAAACTGCTTTGTTTAATAGAACATATTAAAAGAATATATTTAAAGCTAATTTGACTGTGGCACGGTTGTCGCGGATAAAATAAAATAGATGAAATCTGAAAATTTAGTTTAAGGGAAAATAAATTTTATTTAAATTGAACTTCACTTTTTCTAAATTGGTTTTTGATTTTAAGTAGTTTTTTATATCAACTCTTAACTCTGCAGTCTTAAATTATTGAAGAAATTATTTATGTAATTTTTATTTGTGTAAAATGATAAATAAGACAAAAATTTACTAATGGCAAACTTCGTTCAGATTTATGCAGTTATGATACTATGATAATATATAACATAATTAAGAAAGACAATAATCAAACTAAAAATTTTTTACAGAAAAAAAAACTGCTCTGGAGGAAACCATATCCAATAACGTAATTCCTAATGAGATGATAACTTGTGAGCAGTGTGGAAAACCTGAACATAAATCTAAACTAAAAAAAAAAACGATATTGCTCTCCAGCTTGTGTGCGCCAAGCCAAAGTATCTGTAGGTGAGCAAGTAAATGAACTAATTATAGATAGCGCTAATGGACAAACAAATACAAAAGAATTAAATAATAAATTGGAAACAGTAACTGCAAGCAACCGCGTTGCAATAGGTGACGACAAAATGCAAATTGAAGTATCAGTTGCTGCAACAGCAGTACAAAATCTTAACAATAGCAATAGCCAGGCATCTAATATAACAACAACTACTCAAAATTTGTTACAGCCAAACGATGTGACTAGTGCTTCTGTTAACGGCATAGATACGCCACAAATGATTAATTGGACTGTTTCTGATGTTTGTGAATTTATTAAAAATTTACCTGGCTGCAGTGATTATGTTGATGACTTTGAACAACAAGAAATTGATGGGCAAGCATTATTATTATTAAAGGAGAATCATTTAGTTAATGCAATGGGAATGAAATTGGGACCGGCGCTTAAAATTGTTGCTGCAGCAGCTGCTGCAAATACATCTGCATCAGCAACTACTGCCACTACTAATATAACACCTGAAAGAGAAGCACAGTAGATAAATAAATGTGAGACGTATTTGTAGTATATTATATTTAATTTTCTTTGAGAAAGAATTTTTTTATTATAATTTCTTTTTATTTTCTTACTATAAGTTTGTTTAATTGTAAATAAGTTTTAAATGGATAATGCTCTTTATTTGCATAATATAAAATAACGTAATAAAACTTTGTTTTGCGTTAATAAAGTTATATCTATCCGTATATATACTGTATGTTAAATATATACTTATATTGTTAATTATATACATTTTTGATGGCGTATAATTCTTCTATTTATATTTTAAGATATATTATAAACTTTTTAGAAATATGAATTAATTGTAATTTAAGAACTAATTTTATTGATATATTTTATACCGTTACTAAATGTATTAAATATAATTATTTTTCAAAAACTTATACTTTTTGCATTGCATAGACATAAAAGTGAATAATTTTGTTATAGGCAAAATCCACTTAAAAATAAATAAATAGAAGGTTGACAAAACAATGAGATGGATGAAGTAATATGAAGAAGGACAGAGGTGACGATGAGGTTACAGGTAGGAATCTTGCTAACTCAATAGAGCGGAACCATAAATCAGTAGGGATAAAATTCATATTTGCACTTGAGGAGAAACACATGAGCAATGCCGTGTGGTATCGTATTTATTGTATCGTAGTATTGCCAGCTAGTTCGTACTTGACAACTCTGTCAATCCTGACGGTAAATTGTCATTGATTTGCGAGTCATCGTCTTTATCCAGTTCAGGAGAGCTGTAACAACATGGTTTAATTTTGTCAGTTACGAACACTGAGCAGAATTTTCGTGATGTTATCTGCATTCTTGGTATGTCTTCTGAGGTATCGGTTATGACACAAGACTTGAAATTTAATTAGCCCCACGATATTTCGGTTCGAGTTATTGTGGTTCACCTATTGCGGGAAGTTGGGACTCGATCACAACTTAGTTGCCTTCGGACCACTATTTAAGTTTACCGTGCTTGTTGTCGAAACGCGTTTTCCAATTGAAACGCTCACGACCAATGTTCTCCGCAGTCTGAAGTCGTTTTTCAGCAGTTGTTATTAGTTTTTCGCCGTCATTTGCATCATCGTTTACAGCGGCTATAAGTTGATTGTAGACGATGTTTCTAAAATCGAATCGAATATTCGATTCGGGTTGAACCTAAATGTCGCATTCTTTTGCGTTTATTGAAAATTGTAGGTTTCGTAGTGTTATGTCCCACGTTTTATGATCCTTGCTCGATGTGCAAAAGTAGTTTAGGATCAATTGATTTGCACGTTCCACTTACTCGTTGGAGTGTGGTGTGCGCACAGTTGTTGATGTTGTGTTGATGTGTTAGATTTCTTTGTCATCGCAATATGCTTTAAAAGCTTTAGAGATAAAGGCGGTACCCCTATCCGTTACAATTTGCGATAGTCACTCTTAATAAGTAGCCCAATCGTGTAAGTCCTGAGGTGTATTCCTCAAATGTGCAAACTAAAGTGTTCACCAAAAATTTGCTTAAATTTTGATTTTGCTATTCCTCAACTGTGAATAGTGAATGAAAAGTGTAGACTTTTGTCAAATTTTATTCATTGTAAATTTGACCGTGGGTTTTTAAAAAACATTTTGGACAAAACTAAATTTAATTTTGTGTTATTATGTTTTTATAGGATTCTATAAAGGGTTTCGAATAGTAAAGAAGGAAAGGACAAACACAAAAATTTAGTTAATGTTCGAATTTCTTTTATTAATTAGTTTATTGTCCGTATATAATTTGTTTGGATTGCAAGTGCCAGGCTTTGAACTCGTGCCTGTCAAATTACAAGCGATGACTAATCGTGTTTTTCCACAAGTAGCCAAGGCTGCACAAACTTTCCGTGGTCATGCTCCAGGTTTTTTTTGACTGCTTTTTATTTAATTAGTAACTATAAACAACAGCTTTATTTGGAAACACAAATTCAACGAATTGAAAGTTATCTTTTGAAGTTGCCTATTTTCATTTTTCAAAGCTATTTTTCAATGCTTTTTGCAAAGACATTTGTTATGCATATTGTTTACTTACTATATGAAAAGCGCATTTTTAGTGCTTTTTACAAATAAGCTATGCTATTGTAACTCTACGATTTCGCTTTCGCGATTAGAACAAGCTGAACAATATAGTTTAGATTTTAAAAATGAAAAAATTTAAAAAAGCAAGCAAAAGGAGTTGAAGTTTGTTCTCAAATATCAATATTGAATCTTTTGAAAATAGTAAACTTTCGAAACTTATGTTATAAGAACTGTCAAAAAATAATAAAAATATAAAATAAAAATTCTTAATAAAATAAATATTATAAAATTCTATTATAATTATTATAATGTGTCCAATTTTGTTAACTTATATATATTCAATAACTGAGTTTATTTAGTATAAATACAAATTTCTTCACTGACAACTGTCAAAAATGCATTCAGCACGTCTTTATTTTACCATATATTCAGCACGAAAAACTCACGAGTACTTGAAGAATAGCATTTTACAAGAAAGTATAAACTGGACTACATGCGATGTTTTCATGTCTCGGACCGCTTTAACTACCAAATATTTAGTAAAAGAGTCTGATATAGCTAACACATAAAAGTTTTAATAGAAACGTCTTTCAGTTCTTTCTCCGAGTGCCTTTTAGTAACAGCATTCGATATATGTGGCAATATATTTTTGGACCTACTTTCTAATTTTTGGGAACCAAAAATTCAGTCGAAGATGTTTAATAGTTTTATCAATGCGAAGTGACCCATGATTTGCGATCATGACAAATCAACAATACGCCAGCATACGTATTTCGGAATGACTAATTTTAAGCCATCTGCTTTTCGTCAATATAACGTGTATTTGTAAACAGTTATCTTTTCTTAGCACTACTTCGTTGAAAAATTTGACGTCGCCCTTTAGGATCAATATTATTTTGCCTATGTTTTTTCCTGAATCTGCATTTGGTATGAACATTGGCGATAACAAGCAATCTGTCACCAATGGGATATTTTTTCCTAACAATTACGTTTGGAAACGTTCCATAGTTTCTACTACAGACGGAGCTTCGAGATCGTAACTGTGATATCTACTTTCGGCCTGGTGACCATGTCGGCTGTAAAACGCTACAGCCTGCCATGTTTTCGTATCATAAGACTGCAATAAAGCCTTCAAGTACAACGCTGTTTGCATCGGTATGTACTTCTTGGTTAGTGGAAAAGTCATATAACGCCAGCACAGGGCTGCTTGTCAGGGCATCAATGAGAAATCGCCGTACTTCAGTTGCATTTGTCGGCGTAGGAAAAACCTTGATTGCGGAGATTTTCTCTTTTCCGGGCGTTATGCTATTTTTGTCGATTATGTGACCCAAATGCCCAATTTGCATAGCTGAAAATGTAACATTTGCAGTCGCGTAATATATCACGGAACTTACGTAAGCGTTTGAAACCCTCTTCAATCGTTGTTCTTGGTATACTAACGTCATCGAGATACACCATTATTTCGCCAGGAGCCATATTTGCGATTATCCTGTTCATTACTGACTTGAACATAGCTCGAACATTCGTTTATATCGCGCAATAAATCGGTACATTGCATATAATTTTTCGAAAGTTTCTTTTTCAAATCCGTATCGTTTATATCGTTTATAATATGACGAATTATACCGCTTGCGGGCAAAACCTGCTTTCGTACCTTATGTCAGCTATTTAAAATAATATTCTTGCGCCAATTCATTATGTTGTCTTTTAATTCTCGACATTTCGATGTGTATATCGGCTACATTTACCGTAAATGGAAAATCATTTACAAATCGATCTACAAACTGTTTTTACGAACTTCTTGCAACGAGTCTACCCAATATTTATCTGGATCTTTGGAATCTTATCATTCCAACCATAAGCATTTTTAAACTTTTCAATACGTTTTATATACTGTTCAGCAGCTAGCGACCTTTTTGATACAGGATTAAATGCAGGCAAAAATTCTACTACATCAAGTACGTTGCAAAACTGATTTTACGGACCGTAGGGTGCTGGTTGCGTAAGATATAGACCCAACAAAAACGAAGTTATTACATATGTATGTTGTACCTTTCACCAGTTGTGGTGATGTGTTTTGCATTTGTGTATACACATTTTGCGTCATTGTGTATCCACTCAACGGGTTAGCACTTGTTGTTTGAGCATGCCAAACTGGAGACATGTCATTTGAAACTTGCAGCATGTGGGCTTGCGTCGGTGCCTCTCGCAACAAGCTTATTTTTGATGACTCCAACATGTTCAGGCCTATTCTGAATACTCCAAGGGAACAAAACTCCCTATTCCCACGCTGTTCCCAAACACACAACTCCCTTATTCTGAATTGCTTGAGAGACAGCAGTTTTGGGAACAACAACAGTTTCAAATTTGTTTTGTTACATTTTGGCAACCATGCCATTTTTTAATGACGAAAAGTGCGAAAATGAGCAAAACAAAGAAAAGAATTGCGTATCATATGTTGATTTAAATGTAAAAATCGCATTATTTGTTTGCTGCACAAATTATCGGAAATAAATATAAGTTATTTTATAAGTAAATAATAAATAATAAAATAACAAATAATAAGAAACATTTATTTTAATGAGTAAAATAAATATATAAAATGAATTGTGCATGAGCAAAATAAACAAGAATTGTGCAGTTGTTAATGATTATTTAAATCAAAAATTTTAAAAAAGTTTTCAAAAATGCGTTCAATTGCATTTCGAGTTTTAGCGGAGGATTTGGCTTAAGAACAGGAGCAAGAAATTTTGCAACAGAGGATCAATCGTAGAAACTTACATATTAAATTTAACTCTTTTCTAAATTTTTAACTCTTTTTTAACTAATTAAAAAACAACCTTACGTTACGATATCAATTCTTCAATGTCTTTATTTTCAAACATTCACTGCTTTTATACAAAATTTGCGTAAATTATAATTTAATTTTTTTAATTAGGATAGAAATGTCCTTCATGCTTCAATTAATGAACTAATAATAGTTTATGATTGTGCAGATGTTACAATAAAAAAGAAGCAATGTTTTATCTGCACATAA